GCGAATATGTCATTCAATTTATCATTGACTGAAGAACAGAAAAAAGCCAAAAATGATATAATTTTACCATATATCAATTTGCAAGGATATATTATTACTCCTCGGGATGAGGTATTGTTAAGTGATCGATCATTTGAAATTTTAATGAGTTATGAATTAATTAATTACGAATTAAAAATGAATTAATTACGAATTAAATTTTGATGAAAGTAGATCCACTATTCAGAACTATATAGCGATGCCATCTATTACAACCTATCAAAATTGAAAGCTCAATTACGGGCCACTTATACTATAAACATCGGTGGAAAAGTATTTCGTGTGGATAGAGAAATCTTGGAAACGCGAGATGCGCCAAATTTCTTTACACTTGGTTAATATTTTTTATTTATGCACTTTCCACACTAATGATCTAGAATTAATCTTAACGACTTTCTAGGCTTTGGGCATGGTTGGGATCCACCGGCAAACGCCCCACCCATACAATTGGCGATAGCACCCCCAATAATCGATCGTGATCCTGAATTGTTTTCCGATATTCTGCGATATCTTCAAGGATACGAGATTGGAATCAAAGATGAGGTTCATAGACAAAACTTACTTAAGGATGCTCGCTTTTATCATTTCAAAGGGTTAGCTGAAAAACTATTAGCATCTACAGTGACTGTAAATGGATTTGGTAAACATGATTGTGCAAAAAACGAAATATTATTTCGGTTAAAAGACATTAGGACATCTGGTGTTTTATTGCCAGAATGTAGCAGCAATGGTGATGCCGTGAACGAAGAAGGTAGTGTTATTTCTACAGGTGCAACTAGTCACATCATGTATAAAAATAAGGAAGGAACCGTTTACGTCTTATTAGTAGAATTACATAACGCTCATCTCATTTGTCGTTACGGCTCGCAATCCCCTTGGCCTACAATATTGGAATTAGAATTGTCTGATAAGGAGATAAAGAAACTTAAGGACATTGCTAAGGCAATCAAGGCGTCAGAAGAAATTGAGCACATTATCCGTTCACCAGACATATGCGCTTTTGAGGTTGACGAGGTAAAATGCACTTCAAAAACCTTGTTAAGTAACGATGAATCATCAGATTTAATAAAAGTAGATGATGAAGGAGGTAAACATGTAGACCTATTCGTTACAAAAGGAATATTGAGATTATTCGTAAATAATGAGAGGAAAATTGAAATGGAGCTACTAAAATGTGAGGCCTTTAGCTCAGAGAAAGGATTTAATGGAAAGAGAGATTTCTTGCCTGCTGATAAAAGAATCGCGTTGTAGAAAAATAAAGTAGAATTATCTTTTCAGAATTATTATTTATCAGTGATGTTTTTTACATACATTTTTGATTGCAATCTTTTCATATAGATAAGTCATCATCTGGGTCTTCTTCGTCAAAATCATCATTAGCATCAGGTTCATAAAAAATAATCCCGCCACTAGAATCTTTTTTTTTTTCTTCATATTGATCTAATAAGATTAAAAGGTTTGTTATCTTAGCCAAACGTAATAAGTTTCGCGTAGAAATATACCTTGCACTTTGATATATGGTAAAATTATATCATTTTTGGCTTTTTTCTGTTCTTCAGTCAATGATAAATTGAATGACATATTCGC